TGCATCAGTGTTTGCCGATGACACAAAACTTTGTAAAGTAATAAAATGTGAGCAGGATATTGCTTTTCTGCAGAGAGATTTGGATAGATTGGGGTACTGGGCACTAAAATGTCAGATTAAATTTAACATAGAGAAATGCAAAGTTATGCACTTCGGGGTTAAGCACAAGTAACTTACACACTGAATGGTAGTGAATGTCAGGGTTTCTTTGCTGTTTTAAACAGCAACCCTTTCTGTGTCAGTGAAAGAGTTTTCAGCTGCAATTACTATCAGCTCCTTTTGCATGTTGCCACGGTTACTCACCTGAGAGTAGTAATCAACCCTGCTGCTAATCAGTGCTGCCTATTTAAGCAGCAAATCCCAGAACCTCCTTGCCCTTGCGTGGTTTCCTGTTCCCCAGAAGTCACCTTGTTCCTGTGTTTCCTGTTTGCTCCTGGTTCCTGACTCCGGCCTTGTTCCTGACTCCGCTGCTCTCCGTTCTCCTGATCCTGGCTTGTCTGACTACCCGCTCTGGTGACTGACCCCTGCTTGATTCCTGGACTTTGCTTTTGTTATTTATTTGTTATTTATTAATAAAGGTGTGTTTGCATCTAGTTCTGTCTCTGTCTGGTTCCTGGTCCCTGACATTACGCAAGGGCCATGAATACAGATGGTACAGGCAAGACACCTATACCTAACCTACTTACCCGGTGGGACCAGCAGAACCACTATTTGGACCAGTATGCCCATCTGGATCCAGTACCCGGCCAGCCTGCGATTGCGGCCGTCTCTGACTCACTTCCTGTTCTAGCACCGGTTGTAGCCCCCAAACCTGTAGCGGCTAGAGGAATGACTGGGTCTGTCCCGCTCCCTCAGTGTTTTGGGGGCAACCCAGCTCAGTGCAAAGAATTTATAAATCAGGTTAAAGGATACCTTGAAATCCTGCCCCAGGCATTTCCTACAGACAGTGACAAAGTTCACTTCATGATTTCTTTGCTGTCTGAAAAGGCCCTAGCTTGGGCAAAACCTCTCTGGGAGGCAGAGAAGCCTATTATTTAAAATTACCCTGAATTTGTTGCGTCCTTTAAAAGGGTTTTTGATATTCCAGCTCGCTCCACCCCTACTGCCGAACTACTCATGTCTAATGCTCAGGGCACAAAAACTATTGTCGAGTATGCCAGTGAATTCCGTACCATGGCAGCAGAGGGTGGCTGGAACAACGAGACTCTTGTGGCTGCCTTTGCACAGGGCCTCTCCGATGTGTTTAAAAATGAGATTGCAGCCAGAGAATTACCTAAAGATCTCGAGGAACTGATATCAGTTGTCACCCTCATTGACATCAGACTCCGAGAGAGATCCTCATCCAGGGAGCGCCTTTGGAGGCCTCCTGTATATTTGGCACCGAGCTTTTCTTGCCCACCCAAACCTCCCTCACCTCCCATGCCTCCTGGTCCTGAGTCCTCTGTCTGTGTGGAGCCAAGGCGGTTAGGCTTCTCACGCCTCTCGGTTGAGGTGAGAGCCTTTAGGAGGAGGGAGGGCCTGTGCCTATACTGCGGACACCACGGTCACATGTTAAAGTTTTGCCCGATTCGTCCGGCAAAGGGCCCGCACCCAAGATACTGTCAGGGGCAGATCTTAGGTGGTCTTTCTGCAGACCCAAAGATATATGTGGGCAAACCCTTGGTGCCTATTATCCTCTCCTGGCCTGATTCATCCATTAAAACCCGGGAATTTCTTGATTCTGGGGCCGCAGGCTTGTTTATAGATTGTGCACTTGCATCAAAGCACTCTATACCCTTACAGCCTCGCGACTTTCCACTAGCCTTCGAAGCCATCGATGGCAGACCAATACAGCCAACCCACGTGACCCAAGAAACCGTGCCCATATCTCTGGCTGTAGGGGCTCTACATCATGAGACGATCCAATTCCAGGTCATTTCCTCTCCATATTACCAGGTTGTTTTGGGATACCCTTGGTTACAGAAGCATAACCCAATAATTGATTGGCGCAAAGCTGAGATATTATCATGGTCCCAGCAATGCACATTTTCCTGTCTCCAGAAACCGGTCAAAGTTTTGGGCACATGTTCTGCCTCTTCCTTACCCGCTGAGTACCAAGAATTCCAAGATGTATTTGATAAAGGTCAAGCCAGCGTTCTGCCACCGCACCGTCCGTATGACTGTGGTATCGAACTCCAACCTGGTGCCATTCCTCCCCGTGGCCGGATTTATCCACTGTCTGTAGCAGAGAATCGAGCCATGGAGGAGTATGTTACCGATGCACTTGCTAAGGGATTTATTCGGAAGTCATCTTCTCCTGCCGGGGCCGGCTTTTTCTTTGTGAAAAAAAAAGATGGCGAGTTGAGACCCTGTATCGACTATCGGGGTCTCAATTGCATTACTATTAAGAATGCCTACCCCATTCCATTGATCACGGAGTTATTTGACCGCCTCAAGGGAGCAACGGTCTTCACTAAACTTGATCTGAGAGGGGCATATAATCTCGTCCGGATAAAAAAGGACCACGAATGGAAAACCGCATTTAACACCAGGAGCGGCCATTACGAATACCTAGTAATGCCCTTTGGTCTTTGCAATGCTCCGGCGGTTTTCCAAGAATTTATAAACGACGTCCTGCGAGATATGCTGCAGCAATGTGTGGTGGTTTATCTCGATGATATTCTTATCCATTCCACATCTCTCGAGAACCATCACGCAGACGTTTCTCGTGTTCTACAGAGACTTAGAGAAAATAATCTGTTCTGCAAATTGGAGAAATGTGAGTTTAACTGCAAACAGGTCACATTCTTGGGATATGTTATCTCAGATGCTGGATTCTCTATGGATCCAGAGAAACTTTCGGCTGTACTAAAATGGCCTCGACCTACGGGTCTTCGCTCTATACAACGTTTTCTGGGCTTCGCCAATTATTATCGGAAGTTCATACGCAACTTTTCTTCCTTGGTTAAACCTCTCACGGACATGACCAGGAGAGATGCTGATCCACAGCATTGGTCACAGGAAGCCATTACTGCCTTTGAGTCTCTCAAAGTCGCCTTTGCTGCTGCTCCTATACTGGCACACCCTAACCCTGCTTTACCATTCATTCTGGAAGTCGATGCGTCTGAGACAGGAGTAGGCGCCCTCCTGTCTCAACGTCCTAACCCTGAGAGCTCCAGGCATCCGTGCGGGTATTTCTCGAGGAAATTGAACCCGGCAGAATGCAATTACCAGATTGGTGATAGAGAACTTCTAGCCATAATTTTAGCTCTCAAAGAATGGAGGCACCTTCTTGAAGGTACTTCAGTGCCAATCCTCATCCTCACAGACCACAAGAATCTTACATATCTTTCCGAGGCTAAGCGGCTTTCCCCCCGGCAAGCTAGATGGGCTCTTTTCCTATCAAGATTCAACTATGTGGTTTCTTACTTGCCCGGTACTAAAAACATTCGGGCTGATGCCTTGTCTCGACAGTTCTCCCCTCCATCCAGAGAGGAGATAACCCCTACTCCTGTGATTCCTCCGGACCATATACTGGCAACCATCCGCACTAGCCTCACATCACCCCTAGGCGAGGAGATTCTGGCTGCACAAATTAATGCTCCTCCAGAGAAACCTAATGGCCATTGTTTTGTACCGATTAACCTCCGTACTAAACTATTAAGTACATACCACGACTCCAAAGCAGCTGGACATCCAGGCAAAAACCAGTTAATTTGGTCCGTCTCCCGGCAATTTTGGTGGCCTAGTCTCCGTTCGGATGTCACCGCTTTTGTAGCTGCCTGTCCTGTGTGCGCTCAAAATAAAACCCCACGACACCCTCCAGTGGGTCTCCCGCAAACAATACCTAATGGTGAACGACCCTGGACCCACTTGTCCATGGATTTTATCGTAGATCTTCCGGTCTCCCATGGCAATACAGTCGTTCTCATGGTTGTTGACCGATTCTCGAAGATGTCACATTGCATTCCCTTGAAAAAACTACCTACTTCCCAGGAACTTGCAACAATTTTTGCTCGGGAGGTCTTTCGTTTGCATGGGTTACCTAAAGTGATTGTCTCAGATAGGGGTAGCCAGTTCGTGTCCAGATTTTGGAGAGCCTTTTGTACACAAATGGGAATTCAGCTTTCCTTCTCCTCGGCCTACCACCCGCAATCCAATGGTGCAGCAGAACGAGCTAACCAAACACTGGAACAGTTTCTGCGTTGCTACATTTCTGACCACCAGAACAACTGGTCTGATCTGCTACCCTGGGCGGAGTTTGCCCACAATAGTGCGATTAATGCCTCTTCCCGGCTATCCCCATTCTTGGCGAACTATGGGTTTCAACCGTCCATGTTGCCTGATACGTTTTTGCCACAGGGGATACCGGCATTGGAGGAACATCTCAGGGAACTCCGTTCCACTTGGGTGCAGGTTCAGAACTCTTTGCAACGCGCAATGCAGAAATACAAACTCCAGGCCGACCGCAGACGCCTTCCTGCTCCCACCTATCAGGTCGGAGAGAGGGTCTGGCTGTCTTCTCGCAACCTACGCCTCCGTGTTCCCTCACAAAAACTGGCACCCCGATACGTTGGGCCATTTCGTATTCTTCGAAGGGTTAACCCTGTAGCTTACGCACTTGACCTCCCTGCTAACATGCGCATCTCAAATGTTTTCCATGTTTCCCTCTTGAAACCGTTGGTTTGTAATCGCTACACCACCTCAGTGCCACATCCACGTCCTGTTCTGGTTGACAATCATGAGGAATATGAAATACGCAGCATCATTGACTCACGAGTCTTCAGAGGACAGATCCAATACTTGGTGCACTGGAAAGGATACGGTCCAGAGGAACGCTCCTGGGTTCCAGCCTCTGATGTCCATGCACCATCCCTCCTTCGTTCCTTTCACGCCCGCTTCCCCATGAAGCCCGGACCCACCAGCAGAGATGGGGAGAGTCGTTGAGGGGGAGGTACTGTCAGGGTTTCTTTGCTGTTTTAAACAGCAACCCTTTCTGTGTCAGTGAAAGAGTTTTCAGCTGCAATTACTATCAGCTCCTTTTGCATGTTGCCACGGTTACTCACCTGAGAGTAGTAATCAACCCTGCTGCTAATCAGTGCTGCCTATTTAAGCAGCAAATCCCAGAACCTCCTTGCCCTTGCGTGGTTTCCTGTCCCCCAGAAGTCTCCTTGTTCCTGTGTTTCCTGTTTGCTCCTGGTTCCTGACTCCGGCCTTGTTCCTGACTCCGCTGCTCTCCGTGCTCCTGATCCTGGCTTGTCTGACTACCCGCTCTGGTGACTGACCCCTGCTTGATTCCTGGACTTTGCTTTTGTTATTTATTTGTTATTTATTAATAAAGGTGTGTTTGCATCTAGTTCTGTCTCTGTCTGGTTCCTGGTCCCTGACAGTGAATTAGGGATAACAACACACGAGAAGGATTTGGGAATTGTTATAGACAACAAATTAGGCAGCAATATGCAATGTCAATCTGCAGTTGCTAAGGCCATAAATAGGGGCATAAATTCTCGGGATGAAAATATAATTTTGCCTCTTTATAAATCGCTGGTAAGACCACACCTTGAATATGCTGTGCAATTTTGGGCTCCTGTTCTAAAGAAGGATATCATGGCACTGGAGAGGGTCCAGAGACAAGCTACAAAATTGATAAAAGGAATGGAGCATTTTACTTATGAAGAAAGGTTAAAAAAATTAAATCTGTTTAGTTTGGAAAAACGGTGCCTGAGAGGGGATATGATAACTTTATACAAATATATTCGGGGCCAGTACAAACCTTTATCTGGAAATCTATTCATAAACAGGGCTATACATAGGACACGAGGTCACACATTTAGGCTGGAAGAAAGGAGATTTCATCTAAGGCAAAGAAAATGTTTTTTTACAGTAAGAGCAATAAGGATATGGAATTCTCTGCCTGAAGAGGTGGTTTTGTCAGAGTCCATACAGATGTTTAAACTGAAATTGGATAAATACTTACAAAAACATAACATACAGGGATATCATTTCTAATTAGTGGGGTAATAGCTGCTTGATCCAAGGAGACATCTGACTGCTATTTTGGGGTCAAGAAGGAATTTTTTTCCTAGTTTGTGGCAAAATTGGAAGCGCTTCAGACCAGGTTTTTTGCCTTCTTTTGGATCAACAGCAACAACATATGTGAGGAAGGCTGAAGTTGATGGACGCAAGTCTCTTTTCAGCTATATAACTATGTAACTATGTAAGTCATAAACATTGCAATATCATTCTAGAGCATTGAGTTTGCTCTACATATTGTTTGGCAACATATGGTCTCCTAGTTTTCTGCAGTATGAATTGACCTGATCAGAATTATATATTTCAATGTGCAATGTGGAGGGGGGAGGAGGTTGAATATATGGTGGTTATTGTCTACACTATGATATATAAAAAGCAAATGAAGAGTACTTGTGATTAAACATAGCTGAAATTTCTACAGTCTGTAGATAATTGTATTTGTATGATTCAGTTCTGTCTGAATTATACCAACTGCATTCATAATTTTTGAATTCCATGTTTCAATAGTTATTATATTTCTATAACTAGACAATACACAAGAAATAGGATAATTCAAAGGTTCATAAATAATTTAATGTATACAGGACTAGAATTAATGTCTCCCTGGTTATCTGTTTATTAACAGAAATGTTACCAGAACATAAGGTCATCTATTGACATCTGAGGAAAATACATTTCACCTACAGCAGTAGAAATGATTCTTTAAAGAAAGGACATATAAATGCTTATAGTCGCTAGGAAAGTTGTGATATCCTATTTCTTCCAAGAAGGATTGATTATGGTAGGGGGCATCATACTCCTCTTTTCTTTTTCTACTGCTCATTTGTAATTTGTGTTCTTTACTTTCTGCTTTGCTGCAGAAACTCTACTGTCCTTTAAAGATAATACTTCAGCCATTATGACGAGATTACCTGGAACAAAACTACTAAACTTCTAACTCTAGCGATGAAAATATCCATTGGGCAAGTATCCCTCAGTTTGTGGAGTACCGCAGCCCATGATTATTATTATTATTTTATTATTTATATAGCGCCATCAGATTCCGTAGCGCTGTACAAAGGGTGGACTAACAGACATTTAATTGTAGCCAGACAACTCGACGTACAGGAGCAGAGAGGTGGAGGGCCCTGCTCAATGAGCTTTCATGCTAGAGGGAGTGGGGTATAGTGACACAAAGGGTAAAAGTAGGGGTATGAAGCAAGTTGTTAGAAAAATATAAGCTGAGGGCTTAGTAGGTAATTTTTTACAGTTGCAGGAGAAGAGTCATGGAGGGTGGTGGATAAAGACCCGCTAACAGTTTAATTGATATGCTTTCTTGAAGAAGTTTTCAAAGATTTTTTTGAATGAGTGGAGACTGGGTGAAATTCTTATGGAGGAGGGAAAGGAGTTCCACAGAAGAGGTGCCGCCCTGGAAAAGTCTTGGAGGCGAGCATTAGAGGTGGGAGTACGGACAGAGGATATAGGTAGGTCTTTGGCAGATCGTGGGGGCCTCGATGAGACATACTTGGGTATTAGGGAGGATAGGTAGGTTGGAGCAGCATTATGTAGGGACTTGTAAGCAAGCACCAGAATTTTAAATTGAGCCCAATATCTAACTGGGAGCCAAAGCAGGGACTGACAGAGCGGGGAGGCGTGGGAGGTGCGAGCGGACAGGAAAATGAGCCTTGCCGCTGCATTCATTATAGATTGCAATGGTGCAATCTGGGAACACGTAAGACCACTGAGAAGAGTATTGCAGTAGTCCAGGCGAGAGAGGACAAGAGCTATATTTTTGAGATGGAAGCGACAGGATTTGGCAATTGATTGGATGTGAAGGGTGAAGAAGAGGTTGGAGTAAAAAAAAATACCCAGGCAGCAAGCCTGCGAGGTAGAGGTGATGCTAGCACCATTGACTTGGAGGGAGACAGACACGGGAGTAGTAACACTTGAGGGAGGAAAGACTAGAAGTTCTGTTTTGGACAGGTTGAGTTTAAGGAAGTGAGCAGCCATCCATTTGGAAATCGAAGAGAGTCAGTCAGAGACAAGAGTCAAGATGGGCGGAGAGAGATCAGGAGAGGACAGGTAAATTTGCATGTCATCAGCATAGAAATGATAATGGAAGCCAAACGAGCTGATGATTTTACCAAGGGAGGCAGTGTAGATAGAGAACAGTAGAGGACCAAGGACAGAACCTTAAGGGATGCCAACGGAGAGTGGTTGGGGGGAGGAGGCAGAGTCAGAGAAAGAAACACTGAAAGAGCGCTGGGAGAAGTAGGAGGAGCACCAGGAGAGAGCAGTATCCCGTAGACCAAAATTACCGAGAATGCGAAGAAGCTGTTGATGATCAACAGTATCAAAGGCAGCAGAGAGATCAAGGAGACTTAGGATAGAGTAATAGCCGCGAGATTTAGCAGCAATTAAATCAGATACTTTGGTCACAGCTGTTTCGACAGAATGACCAGCGCGGAATCCAGATTGAAGGGGTTCAAGCAGAGAGTTGGTTTCGAGAAAGTCAGTCAGTCTGGTGTACACAACTCTCTCGAGGATCTTGGAGGCAAATGGCAGTAGCGAGATAGGGCGTTAGTTGGATGGGGAGTTGGGGTTGAGGCTGGGCTTTTTCAGAATTGGGGTTATGGTTGCATGTTTGAAGGGTGAGGGAAATGTGCCAGAGGAAAGGGAGAGATTGAAAATTTTAGTGAGGGGAAGAGCTAGAGAGGGAGACATGGTGCGGATGATAAATGAAGGAATAGGATCGAGGGAACAGGTGGTGGGGCGGGAGGACCAGAGCAGAGAAGAGACCTCTTCTGAAGAGACCGCCTCAAGTCTCACTAGCTCTCAAATGAAGCTCTCAGAGCAAAAACTTTAAATGTAAGTCTTGCAATAAACTCATTTTCAAAAGAAGTGAATGCATCCACTGGTTTTGATAACAGAAAAATCCAAGGGGACAAGTACATATGCTTATAATGCTTAGAATAGATTTCAATGTTACTAGAACATTTTCACCTTGTCTGTCAGGGTGCAGCAAGGAATTCTGGGAAGAGCCTGTGTGGGATGCAAGGACTGAAGGGACATCCATGATATGCAATAAGACTATGTATTCAAAATCAAAACAGCAAGTAAAAGTGGTACAATTAAAGGACCACTCTAGGCACCCAGACCACTTCAGCTTAATGAAGTGGTCTGGGTGCCAGGTCCAGCTAGGGTTAACCCATTTTTTCATAAACATAGCAGTTTCAGAGAAACTGCCATGTTTATGAATGGGTTAAGCCTTCCCAAATTTCCTCTAGCGGCTGTCTCATTGACAGTCGGGCGCTTATGCTTCTCACCGATTTTCACAGGAGAGTTAACGCTAGTCTGGCTGTGTGGAAAGCATTATAAATGCTTTCCGGGATGTGACCGGGCTGAACGCTGGGCTGCAGCTCTTGCCGCCGCAAGCATTCAAATGACGGGAGGAGAAGAGGAGGATCGGAGGAGAAGAGCTCTCCGCCCAGCGCTGGAAAAAGGTAAGTTTTTACCCCAGAGCTGGGCAGGAGGGGGACCCTGAGGGTGGGGGCACCCTCAGGGCACCATAGTGCCAGGAAAACGAGTATGTTTTCCTGGCACTATAGTGGTCCTTTAAGTAACAGTTAATTATAGTCAAACAATAAGGTCCAAAAACAAGCAATGCAGGATTCTAGTAAGGATTCAAATCAAATCAAATTCCAAACTATGGAGGGTACCAGCAGAGACTGTAAATACTTTAAGGAACAAAGTTTTATGATATCAGCAATGTTCCGGTCAATCGACCTAATTTCAGACAACTTGCAGCTGGACCGAAATTAATCTCCAAGTCCAACGTGCACTATTTGAACAAATTCATTGACAAAGGTTAGTAAATGTAGATATACAAAAGAATGTGAGATATGGCTGTGTGAAATCTAGAAAAAAATAGTGTGATACAGTAAACAAATCAATAATGTGCTGTGGTTAAAATGCACTCACAAGATCAGGATAAATAGTGCGCTCAAAAGGTGCCTGCCCCGATATTGATGGGCGGCTAGATGCCTCCACTCTCCACTGGTAATCCAAGCGGACCGAATGTGAAATGAGACTCCAGTGGGTATAAGTTATATAAACGTATAAATTAATTTATTATAAAAAAGGAGCAATATACATTTGCGCACAATAATAAAACAAAAGAACAAAGGTTCTATGCGTTTCATTCCTGTGGTTTGGAACTTCCTCAGGG